CACATGACTTTTATTACAGTATATTTTTATAATTATTCTATTTTATTATTAGTTATTGTTGTTAATCTCTTATTGTGCCTAATAAGATCTCACTATTTACGATTATATTAGTAACGTAATATTAATATTATATATATATATATATATATATATATATATATATATATATATATATATATATATATATATATATATATATATATATACGCATACTTTATACGCATATATTTTATCGCTTCAATCGTTATTTTTAGTGGATATGGATAGCACTTAAAAATTTCGTTAATAAGTAATAAAAATATGACGGAGTAAAAAATAAATCATATAATTTCTTTTTTGGGGGTGGGGGCTGGATACAAAACGCAGCAAGTATGGCTTCCGTGAAAAATCATAAGTGAATGTGATTTAAAGGCAAAATAGAAGATTGTGAAGCTCTTTGTAGCTGAGAGAAAAAATAATAACGTTTGAAGCGCTAAAATAAACATTTATATATATTCCATATAGATGGCCATTCCACTTAAAAAGGAAAAAAAATCATTACCAAGGCTTTTCAATACAAAAAAGTTTTGTGTGTATGTGTGTGTGTGTGTGTGTGTGTGTGTGTGTGTATTGAAAAGCCTCAGTAAGGAATTTTTCCTTCGAAGGTGATATGGGATATTGAGTTTCATTAAATGTAAATTATCTATCTATCTATTTATTTATCAGGTCATCCCATAAGTTCTGTCCGAATTTTGAATAAAGAAAACAAGTGACCAAACGTTACATTTAATTACATATTCAATCAACAATGTATTTCCCTGATTATCTATGACTTCCTTCCATCTATTAACAAGCTTACTAATTCCATTATTGTAAAATCCTTTTGGTTTTGATTCGAAGAACTCACAAATGTCAGTTTTAACCTCTTCCTGTGTTACAAAAGCTGTTTCTTCCAAATGATTCTGTAAGTTACGAAACATATCGGATATGGTAGTCTGGAGGAGCAAGATCGGGGGAATAAGGTGGATGAGGAATTTTCTCCCAACCAAGTTCTTCGATCATTTGTGACGTGATTCTTGCTGTGTGGGGTCGCGCATTGTCCTGATGAAACATCACCTCTTTTCGATTCACTAGAGCAGGTCTTTTTTCCTCAAAGCTTGGTTCAAACGCTCTAATTGCTGACAGTATATTTGAGCATTAATTGTTGCATTAGGTGGTAAGAATTCAAAGTGGATTATTCCTTGGCGATACCACCAGATTGAAAGAAAAACCTTTTGCCCATGAAGTTCCCTTCTCGGCTGTGGCTGGGGTCCTTCCCCTTTACCAAGCCACTGTCTACGACGCTTAACATTTCGATAAAAGATCCATTTTTCGTCGCCAGTCACAAGTCTATCCAAAAAAGGTGAAACAAGTTGGCGAGAATGGCGAGAAGAGCAGATGTCAACTCGGGATTCGAGGTTGTTTTCAGACAATTCATGAGGCACCAATTTTCCAAGTTTAGGAACTTTTCCAAGTTGTTGAAGATGAACAGTTGTATGGTTTGAACTGAGAACCGCTGCCAATTCCTCAACTGATAAAGCAGGATTTTCTTCAGGCTGCTTCAAGAAGCTTTTCATCAAACTCAACTGGATGTCCGGTTCGATCTTCATCTTCAAGGGTGAAATCTCCACCTCTGAATTTTGCAAACCATCTTCTGCAAGTTCTTTCATTAACACATTCCTCTCCATAAACTGAGTGAATGTTTGTAGCCACTTCGGCTGCTGAGTTTCCTTTCTTGAACTCATAAAGCATTATGTGCCTCAAATGATTCTTGGGTATTTCCATGTTAGCAGAGTTTTAATCAAACAAAATTTAATTTTATTGTTCTCTCAAATGAAATTTGATCAGTTTAAATGCATCTAAACATAAAAATATTGTTAAGCTCCATTAGACATTGTAAAATACTCTTTAAATTTCATTCATTTTAACAAAAAGTTAAAATTCAGACAGAACTTATGGGATGACCGGATATCTATCTTAAGAAATTTGAAAATAACAAAATATCATCTTCGACGGTGGATATCATTGTTTCATGTCTGTATAAACACTGAGGTGGGCTCATGTGAGCCGAAAACTTAGAACCAACTTAATAAAAAAATATCCAAATGTTGGACAATCACTAGAAATTAAAACAAACATTCAAACATTAGAACGACTCATGATCAGACATAATAGACATTCATTGTCTGTTATATTTAATATAATATATATATATATATATATATATATATATATATAGAGAGAGAGAGAGAGAGAGAGAGAGAGAGAGAGAGAGAGAGAGATAGGGAGAGACAGATGGACTGAATTCTGGTTTCGGATATTATAAAATAATTTGATTTATGATAACCTCTTATCCTCAGAAACTCCAACTCAGTTCTCTAAAACACATTCGTGTCTTTCCTTAGTTTTGCCGAACCCAGCAGACTCTCTTTCGGCGAAATGCGTCGTTTATAGTCTTTTTAATAAAACACACACACACACACACACACACACACACACACACACACACACACACACACACGTACGCACGCACACACACACACACACGCACATTGAACTATCGTATCCACGTTAAGAGGTTATTTTCTACTATGTGGATAAGAGCCTGACCTCCATGTCTATCTATTGAGGTTTTGTGCTTTCGAAAGTCGGAAAGAACAAGTTTGCACCAACCGAAATATCAGCCAGACCTCTGTTAATAATAACAGGCTTTAAGAAAAAAACAACTCGGCATTTATTATTTTGGTATCTGTCTATATTTCTGAGATGAGGTATTATGTACATTATTTACATTATTCGGAGTATTGTCCTCATCTTTGTCGCCATATTTATTACAACGTTTCGGCCTTTCAGTATCTGTCTATATTTCTGAAATGAGGTATTATATACATTATTTACATTATTCGGACTATTGTCCTCATCTTTGTCGCCATATTTATTACAACGTTTCGGCCTTTCAGTATCTGTCTATATTTCTGAGATGAGGTATTATGTACATTATTTACATTATTCGGACTATTGTCCTCATCTTTGTCGCCATATTTATTACAACGTTTCGGCCTTTCAGTATCCGTCTATATTTCTGAGATGAGGTATTATATGCATTATTTACATTATTCGGACTATTGTCCTCATCTTTGTCGCCATATTTATTACAACGTTTTGGCCGTTTGTACGCTCCGGCCTTCTTCAGGTGGTTGTTATTATTCACATTTAAGTTTTGGCATTTGCATGTGTTCACTAATTGTTTCTGTTTGGTTTGGTTTGTTTTACGGTATATCAACCTCAATGTGTTATTTAACGCGAACAGTTTTTATTTCTGGTCATATTTTTTCTTCAAAAGTCTATAGCTGATAATATCTTTTTTTTCAAAAATGTATTGCTGGTAAGAAATATTTTTTACAAAGTATTTCTGGTATTAAAACCTATTTTTACACTTACATAGCGTTTTTACCCCAGTTTGGGGGCTAACTATTTGCCCATAGTTGAGACCCTAACAGGTGCTACCACCCCATGACAAAGTGGACCTAGGAACACCAGCAATTAAGAGGTAGTTCCCCGCTCCTCAAAACCTCCTGATCAGAGGCCTTACTGTTGGACGTCGTTTATCGCCTTACCCAGGACACCGATCTAGTTTATCGTCTTACCCAAGACGCGGATGTAGTTTATCATCACACCCTGGACGCGGATGTAGTTTATCATCTTACCCTGGACGCGGATGTAGTTTATCGTCTTACCCAGGCCATGGATGTAGTTTATTGTCATACCCAGGACGCGGATGTAGTTTATCGTCTTACCCAAGACGCGGATGTAGTTTATCATCACACCCTGGACGCGGATGTAGTTTATCATCTTACCCAGGACGCGGATGTAGTTTATCGTCTTACCCAGGATGCGGGTGTTGTTTATCGTCTTACCCAGGACGGGGAGGTAGTTTATCTTCTACCCAGGACGGGGATGTAGTTTATCGTCTTACCCAGGATAAGCACATTGATTCTGGGCGTTCGACGAAAAGTAGCAACTACTTCAACCAAAAGACTCAGTCCATTAACATTCCAATATTTTTTCTTTCTTCTTGACATGCGCCTCATTTGGAAAACGTACGACTTATTAACAAAGGCAATCTCAAATGACAAGATTGCTTCATTATTTTCTTTACTAAATTTATTTGCCAGATTCTCCAAGTAAAAAAGAATTAGAGAGAGAGAAAAAAAAGTACTTGTCGCCGCTTTATTACAATTAAACTAATTGCATTTTCAAATAAGTTCTAAACGACTTGATTATCAGGTCTGAATACCTTCTCTTTGCTAACCTTATGAAGGACTTAAGTCATTATTATTCTCGCTATCCACAGCTTCTTTAGCGTCAGGTATAATTAAGAAGAGAAGAAAGTAGAGGTGGACGAAGAGGTGAAAGTAGAAAATAATTGCATCAGTAGTAGTAGTAGTAGTAGTAGTACAGCGAGTAGAAATGGTAGATGTATTTCGTCAGGCTTAATGTTTAATCATTAGTTAAGGTCTTCCTCGTTGTTCGGTTCATTTTTTTCTTTTCTTCTTGTAACTTCGTTTTTTGTTGTTATTTTTTTCTTTTGTCTATTCTTTCTTTCTTTTTTTACTTCTTTCTTTTTTTTACTTTTTTCTTTCTTTTTTACTTCTTATTTTTTCTTCGAATTTTTCGTCTTCGTCTCTTCAATTTCTTCTTCTTCTTCTTCTTTTTCTTCTTCTTCTTCTTTTTCTTCTTCTTCTTCTTCTTACTTTACCCTTCTTTTTTCTTATCATTTTTCTTCTTTCTTTCTTATTTTCTTCATTTCATTCTTCGTATAACTTTTCGTTTTCTCCTTTTCAATTTAGCTTAGTTGTTACTTTACCCGCCCTTTTTCTTCTTACGTTTTCTTTCTTTTTCTTCTCCCTTTCTCGGTCTTTCTTTCTTTCTTTCTTTCTTTCTTGTTACTTAACTCCCCCTTTTTTATTATTTTCCTTCTTATGGTTTCTTTCTTTCTTGTTTTATTTCTTTCTTTTTCTTTCTTCTTTTCTTCTTCTCCTCCTTCTCAATTTCTTCTTCATGTTACTGTCTCCCCTTTCTTGTCTCTTTTTCTTACCTTTCTTTTTTTATCATGTAATTTTCGTCTTTTTTTTTTTTTCAATTTCTTCTTACTTTACTCTTCTTTTTTTTTTTCTTGCCTTGCATTCCTTCGACTTCTGGAAACTTTTCTCTTGTCTCACTTTCTCCTCCCCGCATCTCCCTCCCCCTCCTCCTCATTATTATTATTGTTATTTCATATTTCTTCCCTCACCATGTTTTAATTTTTTTCTTTTTATCTTTCCGCCCCGTTGCTTTTTCTTCTTCCTCTTTTTCTCACCCGTCACATTCTTTCAACTTGTAAATCTTTTTGACATTCTTCTTCTAATCACTTTTTCTTCATCATCATCATCATCATCATCATCATCATCATCATCATCATCATCATCATCATTCTTCGCCTTCCTTCCTTCTTTTTTGTGCTTCTTTTTACTTTCTCTTCTTCTTCGTCTTCCTCTTCTGCTTTTTTGTTCTTCTTCTTTCCTCTTTTTTTCTTCTTCTTCCTCTTCTTTTTTCTTCTTTTTCTTTTCTTATTTTCTTCTTTCTTGATCTTTATTCTTCTTCTTCTTCTTCTTAGTCTTCTTCTTTTTCTTCTTCTTTCTTCTTTTTCTTATTTTTTGTTCTTTCTTCTTCTTCTTCGTCTTCTCCTTTCTTCTTCTTTTTTCTCCCTTTTCTTTTCTTATCTTCTTCTTTCTTGTTATTTTTCTTCCTCTTCGTCTTCTTTTTCTTTCTTCTTCTTTTTTCTTATTTTTTCTACTTTTCTTCTTCTTCGTCTTCTTTTTCTTCTTTTTTTCTTCTTTTTTCTTTTTCTTCTTCGTCTTCTTTTTTCTTCTTTTCTTCTTCTTTTCTTCTTCTTTCTTCTTCGTCTTCTTCGTCTTCTTTTTTCTCCTTATTTCTTATTCGTCTTCTTTTTCTTTTTCTTCTTCTTCTTCTTCTTCTTCTTCTTCTTCTTCTTCTTCTTCTTCTTCTTCCAAACTCTTTGTCTTTTCATCCTCACAATTACTGCCAAAGCCATCTGTTCTTTTTCTTTTTCCTCCTCCTCCTCCTCTTCCGCCTTCCCTTTTTCCTTTTTATCCTTCTTTTCTTAACGCATACCATCATCAGTTTTCTATCACTTGTTTGCCCTAGACTGACCGTTAGCAAAGAAATGTGCGTGGTGTTTAAAACCATAAAATTTAATTTTCCTCTTCAGCAACTTAATTATCGTAGGAAACCATTTCTTGTCCTCATTAGAAATGTATGAAAAAATACGATGGCTTTTGTAAAAAAAAAAGAAAAAGAAAAGAGGTTTCACCAATTCCATCAAGCTGAAACTGCTGTTGCCTCAAAGAATGACGATACGAGAAAACCAATGGCAATATTCACTACGATGTTCAATCAAGTTCATATAATCGAATAACTGATAGAATTAAAAATACATCACACGCGATTAGCTTCAGTTTGAAGTAGGTCCTTCAAGCTATCGGGAAGCTTGTTCAGAATCAATCGTCCCTGATCAAACATTAATTGTATATAAACTCGTCTGCATAGACCCTTTTTTCCCCGCATATATTTGCAAGACGATATTTACCAGCGAACATTTACGCTTCTTACGCTCGGATGGATTAGCAAAGGCAATCTGCAAAGGCCAACTGGAAGGCCAATTGGAAATAGGGCCGATGCGTACTACCATCCCCCACCCACCACCAGGGATTGAGCCAGCTTAATTTTTCCCCTTGGGCAGTGCTTTATGACACTCGCTATCTTATCAATCTTGGCTTTTTTCTACCTTCATTTATATACGTTACAAATTAAACTAAGCACAATTGATTATTAATGTCTATATTTCTGAGATGAGGTATTATGTACATTATTTACATTATTCGGACTATTGTCCTCATCTTTGTCGCCATATTTATTACAACATTTCGGTCCTTCAGTATCTGTCTATATTTCTGAGATGAGGTATTATGTACATTATTTACATTATTCGGACTATTGTCCTCATCTTTGTCGCCATTACAACATTTCGGTCCTTCAGTATCTGTCTATATTTCTGAGATGAGGTATTATGTACATTATTTACATTATTCGGATTATTGTCCTCATCTTTGTCGCCATATTTATTACAACGTTTCGGCCGTTCAGTATCTGTCTATATTTCTAAGATGAGGTATTATGTACATTATTTACATTATTCGGACTATTGTCCTCATATTTGTCGCTATATTTATTACAACGTTTCGGCCGTTGTACGTTCCGGCCTTCTTCAGGTGGTTGGAATGTCGAACTGAACCCGTTATTTCGCTCACTGTTCGAGTTCCACGGGCCATGTTTTAATTGCTGTTAGGTTATCAGTTATCTTCTGTTAATATCCCTCTGCCTTTCCCGGGTTAAGGCAGTGGAAAACGTTCAAAAATGGATAACTGGTAATATTATTTTAAAACATGTATTGCTGGTAATATTTTTAAAAAAAATATATTACTTGTAATAGTTTTTTGTTTCTTTATTCTTCAAAAATTTATTCCTGGTAATAATTTTTTACAAAGTATTTCTGGTATTAAAATCTATTTTTACACTTTTATAATGCTTTTTACCTCAGTTTCTAGGTTAACTATTTGCCCATAGCTGGGACCCTAACAGCTGCTACCACTCCGGGTCAGGGTGGACCTGGGAACACCAGCAATTAAGAGGTAGTTCCACGCTCCTCAAAACCTGATCAGAGGCCTTGCTGTTGGACGTAGTTTATCCTCTTACCCAGAACGCGGATGTAGTTTATCGTCATAGCCAGAACGCGAATGTAGTTTATCGTCATACCCAAGACAGACTATTTATTAGATTGTTAATTTAAACTATTTATTATATTATATTATATTATATCATATATCTGAATAGTTGGAAAAACCTGGGCTAACTGTAAGTCGATTCGAACTTTATAAAATGGTAAATAATAAGGATTTCCTTATAGTTGGTTCAGGCATTTTATTAATTTAGTAAATGTTTATAAATTTATGAATAAAAAATTGTTTTCACATTGATTTCTTTATAAATTGGTAAATGATAAATACCCCATTGCATTAGTCCTAATTGTATTAGTTTTTAGAATGTAAATTATTTTGTAAATAAACAATCGAATAAATAAATGTGGTTAATATTTTTGTTTTGTTTGGTTTCGTTTGACTTACGGCGTATCAACTTCAATGGGTTATTTAATGCTGACAAGATTTTTATTGTTGGTAATTTATTTTTTGTTTCAAAATGTATTGCACATAATTTTTTTTTTTCAAAATGTATTGCTGGTAATGTTTTTGTTTCAAAATGTATTGCTGGTAATATTTTTTGTTTCAAAATGTATTGCTCGTAATTTTTTTTTTTTTTTTCAAAATGTATTGCACGAAATATTTTTTGTTTCAAAATGTATTACTGGTAATATTTTTGTTTCAAAATGTATTGCTGGTAATATTTTTGTTTCAAAATGTATTGCTGGTAATATTTTTGTTACAAAATGTATTACTGGTAATATTTTTGTTTCAAAATGTATTGCTGGTAATATTTTTGTTTCAAAATGTATTGCTGGTAATATTTTTATTTCAAAATGTATTGCTCGTAATATTTTTTTTTCAAAATGTATTGCTGGTAATATTTTTTTTTCCAAAAATGTATTGCAGGTAATAATTTATTACTGATAATATTTTATTCAAAAATTCATTGCTGATAATAAAACCTATTTTTTTTTACCCCTTTTGACCCCAGTTTGGGGGTTAACTATTTGCTCATAGGTGGGACCCTAATAGGTGCTACCACCCCGGGTCAGTGTAGACCAGGGAGCACCAGCAATTAAGAGGTGGTTCCATGCTCCTCAAAACCTCCTGATTAGAGGCCTTGCTGTTGGATGTAGCTTATAGTCTTACCCAGGACGGGATATTTTTATTGTAAGTTCATAAAAAAAATGTGTAAATTCACTTTCATCATATGTTGAATTTTTATTGCTATGCTAATCCTCGCTTTTTAAAACAAACATTGCTGAAGAGTGAAGGCAATTGAAAAAAAAAACTGTGTCATAGGAAAAACCGTCCCTTTAACTAACATGACGTCTTATTGCCGGCATGTTCCTCCATATTTGTCAAATTCACTATTTTCTATCCAATTTTTTTACAACCGCTTCTTTTCCCACAGACAAAACGTTGCAAGCCGCTCCCTACTCTACTGCTCATATTTAAACTAGATTTATTCCTTAGTTTCCCCAACTCTAACCTTGTCACCACACCGCGTACACTGAGGCGAACCACGCCCATTTTCTTTATATTCCATTAGTAAGGAGTAAGTACCACTCGGATAGCTTTTTCCTAGGAACTGTTGTTTTCTAGAACAGAATACCAGGTAGATGCTTTCCCGGCCACTACAATCTTAGCCTCTTCAAGACTAGGGTTAAACGTCTTACGTTTACTTCCCATACAAAATTTGCTTTTATTAAGCCTCTACCTTGAGTGACCCCACGGCTTTCTACATAGTGAACATAAGTAAAAAAAAAAAAAAAGAAAGGATACTCCTTCTATCACGAGTTTATACCAACCGTCAAAAATGCTTGCATCTTTATTGTCATTAGAAAGCATTGGGGGTGTTTAGTTTTAAATAATGTCATTAAAAAATCGTTTTTGATTGTTTTATAATTACTGTCAAACTAGAATGCATTTTAAAAATGTTGGATATAGAAGCGAATAACATGCCTGCCATTCTATGCATGTTTGTTTTAATGTAAAAATTCGACTTAAATGCAAGAAGATGAAATTCTTACTGTTTATGGAGAAGGTACCGTCAAAAGTAATTTGCAACATTTCACGCTGTAAATTTCTTACTGAATTAAGCTCCATGCTTGGGAAAACGAATTGAGATTCATAACAATAAAATCTAGAAATTATTTGAAAAAAAAAAAAAACATGCAGAAAAATATCAATAGTTGAACGTTGAAAATCATCTGCCCCAGATTGTTTATGTTAGTCACTTGGTTGTGTGTCTTCCACATTAGCGAAAATAAAAGCCATCTAAGTCGTGTTTAAATGTTCCGTTTTTTAAAGCAATTGTGATGAGTGATCAAAACAGATATATTAAAACAACATAAACCACAAAAGATCGTGAGTCAGGCAAATTAATATCAACGCATTTGGTCTTCATTCAAAGAAAGCGATGATGTATATATGGTGAATTTGGAAGGATATTATCTTTTATGCTTGATTCAAGCAGGTTTGTTTTACAATATATCAATTTTTTCCATTTATTTAAGGACGGATTCTGTCGGTTTGATAAACAATAGATTGGAAGACACGGGTTTGATTTGCACGAGAGTATAAAGAGTGGACAGTGGTTTACTTTGAACGGTTGTCATACAGGTAAACACAGATTTGGTTTGCATGAGGGCAAACGGCAGACATTTTTTATATTAATGTTCACCCAATGCAAGGCCCATTATAAAGCAAGTAGTCATACAAAGAATAAATCAGTAAAGTTAATGTAATTAATAGCGAATTCACTTCGCTAACACATTTAATAAAGCATTAACTTACTAACAACTCGTTGAATGACGCGATCTTTTTTTTTTTTTAAATATTGTAAAATGGATTAGATTTTCAGTCCATTTGCAAGTACTTTCAATAAATGCTTTTATTATCTTCAGGCATGGATATTATTTTTCATTTTCAGGTAACTCCAGAGACGAAAATAAATGTAATACAAGTTGAAAGATGTTTTTTTCTTAAAACCTGTTATTATTAACAGTTACAAAATTTTACACTGCATGCTCCAAAATTTTATACAGAGGTGCGTATTATGCATGAGTAGAAGTATTTCCCACTCTTTCAGCACAATTGTAGGCGTGCATATTATGCATAGCTACAAAAAATCTTTTAAAAATTGCCGTTTCATAGGTCGATTTCAGTTTCGAAGTGATTACTTACCACAAACATACGACAATTTGACACTAAAATTTGGCGATTACGACTCCATAAGGATGTCAAAAACAATCATATGCACCTAACAATACTTACAAATGTAAAATAAAATAAGAATTATCATAAAACTAAATTAGGATAATATTGTTCTATGTTAAAATCCAATTTTTTAAAATAAGAGTAGGAAACGCTGGCCGTAATGAAATTGAAGAGGTACAATTTATAGGGTTTGATTACCAATGCGTATTATGCATGAGTAGAAGTATTTTCCCACATTTTCAGCACAAATTTTGGAGTGCGTCTTATGAATGAGGGTATATCATACATGGGTAATTACGGTAAGTCTAAAAGGCATTGGACGTCTTTTTTTTAGTTACAAATAAAAACGTTGTTGGTGATAAGAACTTTTTATTAAAACTGTCCACCTGTTGTTTTTATTAAAACTGTCCCACCTGCTATCTCTTAATCGCTTTGGATTTTCTTCCGGAATTTAAGTACAGAGGTGTCGGTGAGATTCTTAAGAAAGCACGATTACATCGGCAAGTAAAAAGGCGATTTCGGGTGCTTGGAAGAAATACGGTGAAAGCAGACAGACCACAATAAAATAAAGCACCAGTAAACATGGCGGCCAGCGTGGCGAGAAATACACGATTAGCTGTGTGGAGTTCATGATTTTCGATCTGTGTCTAATCGATATTTAGCCTGGATTTGTTCCATAAATATTTAAGAAAACTATTCATGAAATCACGATTGAATAATCGACTTAAAAAAGATATACTACTGCTACTGTTTATATATATATATATATATATGTGTGTGTGTGTGTATGTGTGTGTGCGCGCGAGTGTGTGTGTGCACGGTGAGGTAATGGATAGCGACTCGGATTGAGGAATCCGAGAGCTGAGTTCGAATTCCAGTCAAATCCATTACATTCACTTACGGGCTAATACCCTTCTCCTCCCAGCTATGGGTAAATAGCAGGACAGACCGGGTTCTATAACCTTGGATGGCAACTTCTCTACCGCAGAAAGAAATAGGAACCTAGTGAGGAAAAAATCTGCCTCGTCAGTCATGTATAGAAAGATACATGATCGCCTAAGCATATATCACGCATGGCACATAACTGATCTATCTCAGTCTATTCACATCTATCTATCTATCTATCTATCTATCTATCACAGTCTGCTGATATCTATCTATCTATCTATCTATCGAATCCATTACATTCACTTATGTACTAATACCCTTAGGAAAGGTATGAATCCTCTTCTTCCCCCCAACTATGGGTAAATAGTAGGACAGACCGGATTCTATAGCCTTCAATGGCAAGTGGTCTACCGCAGAAAGAAATGGCAACCTACTCTGGGAAAAAAATCTGCCTCGTCAGTGATGTATCTGCGTCAGTGATGTATCTTCGATACATCACTGACGTAGATATCTGAGTAAAAAGTACAAACTAAATAACACCTTCACCATCCCTCTCTCCCCCCCCCCTCTCTCTCTCTCTCTCTTTCTCTTTCTCTCCCCATTTCGAATTCCAGTCGAATTCATTACATTCACTTACGTACTAATACCCTTGGGGAAGGTATTAATCCTCTTCTTCCTTCTCCCTCCAGTTGATGGCTAAATAGCAGAACAGACTGGGTTCTATAGCCTTGGATGGTCTAGGAGAAGGAAAACTCTGAATTCAAAACCTGCGGAGGGTCATTTGGGAACCTTGTGGCATGTAGTCCACCAGGTCTCTGTATACAGCCCTTCAAAAAGTGTGGTTGATTCTGGAAAAATTCTTCACCACTATAATCAAATCATATGTGCAGATTGTCTGGCTGTCGCTTCCTAGGAACTGAGATGGATGACCCTCATACGTCGATAAAACGACCTAACGTGAATATATATATATATATATATATATATATATATATATATATATATATATATATATATATATATATATATATTACGATAAACGTGCAATCAATTTACAAATACATGAATTATTCACACAAAAACTAATGCAAAGGTTAATGACTTAAATGGCGAACAGACGAAAGCTTGTAGTAAAAATAAGAACTAATACGGCAGAAATTTATATAAACAAGGATCATTTCATTCATAACGGATACGGAGGTTTTTGTATATTATTTGGATTGTTTGCGATGATGGATGTCTCGCCATTTAAATCATTAACCTTTGCATTAGTTTTTGTGTGAATAATTCATGTATTTGTAAATTGATTGCACGTTTATCGTAATTTAAATAACTGATCCAAGTGCGACTTTTGGATAATAAGTGCGACATTACTGTAATTATTGAACAATATAGTTCATGCCACTTTGACAGAAAAATTTACCAGTAATAAATTTTTTCATCACCATATTTTATAAGAAAGCAGAACCTTTAAAAATTTAAAATCAAACTCTGCGTTGCTTATGCGCGCTCCAAAAAACAATAACTCATTTTCAATAGCATTTCGGATACAACAATACATATATTTTCGTTGTCCTCTTATTACTAAGAGAAAAAAACAAGAACAACATCTATTCTATACCTGAAGATGTCTGTAGGAACAGACAAAAGCTTGTAGTAAAAATAAGAACTAATACGGCAGAAGTTTATATAAACAAGGATCATTTCATTCATAACGGATACGGAGGTTTTTGTATATTATTTGAATTGTTTGCGATGATGGATGTCTCGCCATTTAAATCATTAACCTTTGCATTAGTTTTTGTGTGAATAATTCATGTATATATATATATATATATATATATATGTATGTATAAAACGCTAATAAAATCATCCTTGATAATGGTTAAAAGAATATCCGAAAGCGCTTGGTCCTACATAAGATTCGGATAATTTCTACACCCGTTATGTCCAGGAAAGCAAAAAACATTGTAAGAACTGAATTTCAATGCCTTTTAACGAAACAATGTATAAAAGAGGAACTGCTGCCCAAATACACAATTATTATATATACCGGGTGTAACACCAAAATTGTCCAAACTATATAAGAGCAAAATTGTACAGTTGTTGCATTAAACTTTGAACAATTGTATCTTAGAAATGATTAAAGATATCTTACTGGAATTCTCCGAGGTTTTAAAAAACTATTGGACCCTATTTTGAACAATAAGGATGTATTTAGCTCTAAGTTGTTACCTCTTACTGTTCTGACCTCCTGGTCCAGTTTTCCTCTCTACTGTTCCCTCTTTTTTAAACTTATTCACCATTCTCTTGATGGTTCTTGAATGGACTTTGAAGATGGAAGCCAGAATATAAATGTTGATACCATTACTGAAGGCCTGAATGATCTTTTTCCTCTCAGCATTCCTCAGTTGGGAAGACAGTGGGGCTGACACAAAACGATTTTAATATGTCCTCTTTCTAGCTGAATAACTGAAAGGATTTTTATTTCTGTGATTATTAGAACAAATGGTGTCAAGATCGCTTATCTGAAAACCTGGGAAAAAGAAAATCAATTAGTTTAGTGGGTTTTTTTTTTTTTGTTTTTTTAGGTATTAAACATTTTATGGAATGGACAATAATCCCATGATGTTATACGATTTGGAAAATTATCTCTTACTGTTACAATATTTGGACGGTATATATATATATATATATATATATATATATATATATATATATATATATATCCAAGTATATAATTGGTATATACGGAATGAATTCCAATAACCAACAATTACTGTTCTTAAAAGAATGCTCAATACAAAGTAGAGCAGATATAATTATTTTTTATAAAAAGAAAAATTATAACATAAGTATGTTATAAAATCACTACAAAAATAGCCATTTTGTTTCAACACACTCGGTGTCTTATCAAGTGATGATGTTGAAACAAAATGGCTATTTTTGTAGTAATAACATACTTATGTTATAATCTTTTTTTTTATAAAAAATAATATATATATATATATATATATATATATATATATATATATATAATGAAAAACAGACAACTTTAAGGGTACACTGGTTATAATTTATTCCCAGGTATTTTTTACCCTGGCTCATCAGACCACACTCCCAAGCGTGAAAAAATGAATTTAAATTTACATATAGTTTTTATAGATTTTTGAGGAGTAGTTTTAAGTTGATGTAAGGTGATATAGAGAGTGGGGAGAGAGAGCGTGACAGATATGGTCGAAATTAGAAAGGGAAGTGAAATGAGAGATAAGAATGAGTTTAAATTTATTTTTATTACAATACTTAATACTGACGAAGGGGGGTAAGGACAAGACATTGACTTTTTTAATAGGTTATCTCACAGGAAATTATATAGAGAGAAAAAAGAGAAGATATAAGAAATCAGAAATGGAATTAGAGGTGTTAGGAAAAAAATGGGGAATAGAGATTTGGAAAGGAAAATTAAGTGAATTAATGTATGTCGCCATATTGCGGCTAATTTGGCAAAACTCAGATTTATATATTTTGCCGTAAACGTTTGACAGCAATTCAAGCGTTTTAATTTTTCAATAGATTAAACTAGGAAATAAATATAATTTGAATAAACAAAAAATATTACTATTATCAATATTCTTAATATTGTGAATAACAGTTAAGGAGTAATATTTCTTAATTAACGCCTAAGACTTTAAATCTAATTTGAAAAATATTTCGAAATGAAAAAAGATTTAAAGGTAAGAATAAAATATCTTTACACTTAATATATATATATATATATATATATATATATATAAAGAAAGAACGATATATTTTCTTTATATAATAACACCAAAAAAGTTTCGGCATTAAATAACCAACGGAAGTTCATATGTGTTATGGAGGGGTTTCACAGTGGAGGCTTGTATTTGTACTAAGTCGGTCCTAAAATAGGTTCAACGTACAAAACGTTAGGAACTTGATATAATAGGTAATGATGCAGAGAAAATCTAGGTGTGGTCACTGATACTTTAGTATCCGACTAATAGTCGTCCGGCATCAACTGACTGTCTGACCCACTGAGCGACTCGTTACTATTACTACTCCTACTTATTATAGGTGGGAGAGTCTATTAACTATAGAATAGGTCGCCAGATGCCCTGATCTATCCCCTATCCTTCTCTTCATTCTTTCCTCTATCATACTTATTTGCTCTTGCTCCAACTCTCTGTAACCCCTTGCGTGCTAGTGGTTCCCACCTTGCTTGGGGTGAAACGCTTATATATATATATATATATATATGGGGGTGCGCTGGCAGGTATGTGAGTGGATGAGTGTGTGCGCGTGGGTGGTCGTAGTCGGCGCTCTCCGGTCCTACTTACTGCGCCTATGGCTGTCATGCTACTTGCATATGTCCGGTCTTTTAAGGGCACCTCGACGTGGTGTAATGGTTAGAAAGCTTGTCTCGCTAGATCAATTACGACTGAATAGTGAGTTCGATCCTCAATGGGTGCCCCATAATTTCGGCCTTGTGCCACATCTAAGCCGGGCTTAGGAAATCACTATGTCCGGTCTTTTCAGAATGAGTAAATCAATGAAAATCGAAGAGATAAATCGTGTCATATAATCTCCATTGTACTATAAAATGGTATCTACCTCCGTCGCGGCAGCGTAGACAAATGGATTACGGCTCGGATTGAGAATCAATGAACTCGGTTCGAATTCCAGTTTTGATTACATTCATTTACGAATATCTATAACGTATGAATCCAGCACTTCTCCCTCCATCTACGGGTAAATAGTATGATGGATTGGTTTCTATAGCCTTGGTTGGTAAGAAGGAAAACTCTAAATTCAAAACTTTATGTAGCCCTGTCGAAGCACTTACTATGCAGCTAAGGAAAGGATCATTTGCATTGACTCGATGATCCCGGCTTTGATCTACTCCTTTTTTTTTCTTTTGCCTATGGTGCAAATGGTTCCCAACCAGTGAGGCATGGTTTTTTTGGGTTTTTTTTTTTTTTGTCTTTTTTTGTTTTTTGCTGGGGCATGCTTAGGATGTGCACCCTTCGACTTACTATGCCAACAGAATAAGGGGGCAATTTAAGAATGAGTTATTAATAGTGAATTGTTTTCTTGCGAGTCTGATTGATAGTGTTAATGTTAATGCGTGTCAATACATACGATGTATATACAGTATGCATACATAAAAATATCCTGTGTGTATGTACGTACATGTGTAATTGGCATACATGGAAGAATTAATTATTACAGAGGGGGAGCCAGAATTTTCGTAATGCCAAATTGGGACATGGCCCAAGATCGGCTGAGTACAACTGGTATAAACAGAACGAAGAAAGTATCAATGATTTTAAATAAGCTACTTTTTTAAGACTTAGTAATTACATAACGTGTTAATATATTATCTGTTAATTATATGTTAATTTATTATTAATAATTGTTATTAATACTATTTTGTTGTTTCACTTATTTTTCTTTTCTTTGTTTGTTCTTTTGTTCTTTTTTTTTTGCATATTTCTTCATCCACCTGCAATAGTCACTGTTGACTGTATAATAATTCTTCATCTGCATATTTCTTCATCCACCTGCAATAGTCACTGTTGACTGTATAATAATTCTTCATCTGCATATTTCTTCATCCACCTGCAATAGTCACTGTTGACTGTATAATAATTCTTCATCTGCATATTTCTTCATCCACCTGCAATAGTCACTGTTGACTGTATAATAATTCTTCATCTGCATTTAGAGAGTTTCTGTTCGTTGCCTTCTTTATTTATCATCTAAGACGATTTACCAATGAACAAATTAAACTCATCACATCTTTATCAACCTTCTACCCACCTTTTTCTTCTTGACTAATGCTGGTCAATATCCCATTTTGGATGAACCACACCATGCATTGTCAGCAATTTTATAGTCTTCCTGTCCAGTGCCGCTTGCAATCCTCCTTCTGCCACTTATTATTATTATTATTATTATTATTATTGATTTCTGTTTACACATTTTCTTTCCGGGTCCCAACCAGAGACCTAAGGTCAGAAATAGCTTCATGATATTTTGCACTGATCACTTTCGTAAAAACAAAAAATCTAAGATCACACGTATTTTTAAGGGTGAGACAGTCAAGATAAAATTTAATTCAGGAAGGTATTATTATTATTATTATTATTATTATTATTATTATTATTATTCCTTTGATTTCTGTTGTATACGCATTTCCTTTTGGCTCCCAATCAGAAACCTAAGGTCAGAAATAGCTTCATAACATTTTCCACTGATGATTTTTATACAAAAAAAAAACCCCTCAGATCACACAAATTGTACATAGATTAAGCTCTTCGTAATGTCTTATTTGTACTTGTGAGTAGAAGTTTTTTGCATTTCTTTAAGGCATGGGCTACTTGGAATCTCTTCAATAATTCTATCAGAACCGTTTCCAATCAATCTGAGGGTTCCAACTATTACTGGAATTATGGATGTCCTCATGTGCCACATATTTGAGATTTCTATTTCAAGATTCTTGTCCTTGATACTTTTTTTTTGAAGACCTTCAAAGATGCATTACAATTTGCAGCGACTGTCATGTCAATTTTATATTCAGTTGGTGCTAACATTGTGCAATCTGATGCAAGGCAGTCAATGGTTTCTGGATATGTATCACAAAATCTGAATTTGGAGTCAACAAAATTTGTCAGTATGGGCTTGGTAATTTCTAGTTAGCAAGCATTGGTCCTGTGCAGCAAGAATAAAGCCTTCGGTTTCAGATTTTAACCGTGCCCTACGTAACCATTGATGGTACGAGGTTTGTCTCCATCATCTTGTTTCGTACGGGCAGACCATCAAGAGAGGGGCTTATCTTGACATCGTCCCTATAAATGGTCGGTTTATTATTATTATTATTATTATTAGAAAAAACCCGTGAAAATTTTGACGGCTTTCCTGATGAATTCATAAGTTAATGATTAAATAATCAATAACAATTATAAACGTGAATTCTCGTCATTATTTTAAGAAGTGGATAGAAATGAAAAGATTTGAAACTGACAACTTTTTTCCATTTCACTGAAACAGCTGTTAAACACTTCTGTCTTATCTTCTTTCTTTCTTTCTTTCTTTCTTTCTTCCTTCCTTCCTTCCTTTGTTTGTTTGTTTCTTTCTTTCTTTCTTACCGCCCTTCCTTCCTTTGTTTCTGTGTTTCTTTCTTTCCTTCCTTCCTCCCTTTGTTTCTATGTTTCTTTCTTTCCTTCCTTCCTCCCTTTGTTTCTGTGTTTTTTCGTCCTTTCTTTCTTTCTTTCTTTCTTTCTTTCTTTCTTTCTTTCTTTCTTTCTTTCTTTCTTTCTTCCTTCCTTTGTTTTTGTGTTTCTTTCTTTCCTTCATTCCTTTCTCCCTTTGTTTCTTTCTTTCTTTCTTTCTTTCTTTCTTTCTTTCTTTCTTTCTTTCTTTCTTCCTTCCTTCCTTTCTTTCTTTCTTTCTTTCTTTCTTTCTTTCTGTGTTTCTGTGTTTCTTTCTTTCTTTCCGTCCTTCCTTCATCCCTTTCTTTCTTTCTTTCTTTCTTTCTTTCTTTCTTTCTTTCTTTCTTTCTTTGCTTTTGTGTTTCTTTCTTTCTTTCTTTCTTTCTTTCTTTTTCTCACTGAAACCAAATAATGTCGTTTCCCCTCTTTCCAGGTGATCAAAATGGAATAGTCCATTATTTATAACGTATTGGCAGGGCGTAAAAGTCGTGCGAAGTAACAAACGCGGAGGATAATCATAATTATAATAAGATAGTAATAATAATAATAATAATGTATTGACCACGAAGCGGCTTATCTTGTCATCGTTTCTGCATTTAGTACATTGTCTTTGCTTTCTTTTATACATTTTATGCCGCTTCAGTAGGAGTATTATGGCTTACTTGCATTTCTTCACCCACTTGAAATCCCATTTTGAATTACATTTGGTAACAGGGAAATGAATAAAGATGGTGAACTCGTAGGGAAGTAAGGAAATAGGCTTACTATACAAACTTACACTTAGAAAATAATCTAATGCTAACTCGGTATTTACCCAAAACCTGCCCACAGGGCGGGATGTGGCACAAAGCCGGTTAAACCGAGTTTTTTCCCGAGCCCGTAGACACCGTAATAACGGGGTCGGGTTTGTCAGATGATGTAATGAATATGCATACACCTGGCTTCCTCCTCACAGTAATATGATTGGCTGGTGTCAGCCATAAATACAGACTGATGTGGAGGTACAAGAGGACACTTTTTGCCTACGCCTATTGTCTACGCCTATTGCCTACCACTACGACGAGGACCAGTCCATTATGGTTACCTGCTAGATTGTCCTACCCGGTTACAGTAGTCCCAAACCACTTTGCTACTTCGAACAAATATATCCCTTTCTAGGACATATCTCCCCAGACGAGACTCTACCCTTCGGCATAGCCTCGTTTGGGTTCCTCTCTGACCGAAAGTAGTGAGTTCGACAAGCACTAAGAGGTTAGTGCGCGTCTAAGATCTTGTATTTATCCAAGACCTCCCCAAAAGATGAGCTGTGGCACAGGGCCGATTTTTTTTTTTTAACCAGGTGCGTTCTGAGCCCGTAGGCCCGGGCAAAAAATTCCCCGTAGACCCCATAATAACAGTGTCGGGTTTGTCTACATAACGCGCCCAGATGAGACTCTGCCCTTCGACATAGCCTCATCTGGGTTCCTCTCTGCCCGAAGGCAGAGAGTTCGACAAGCTTTAACAGCTTAGCGCATGGCTAAGACCTAATGCTAACTTGAGATTTATTGCTGGAAAATACGACAATGGTCAAAGGGGGGTAAATGGGTTGAAGCTGGTCGTCATTATCTTTATTCATAACTAATCCGATTCACGATCCATTCATTCATTACAATTTACACATCCACCATAAAAATTCTTCCGTCATCAGCCAATCCTCCACACACCACAATACAGCCTACACACAGGGGGGATCTATAAAAACACCCCATGAAATAAAAATTCGTGTATATAAAATTATATATAAAACTTTATAGATGATAAGCAATGAGTTTGGGTGTGGAATGAACCCGAAACCAAACTAAAATATAACAAAATACACAAACTAAAAAATAATTGTTGCTTGTAGGACCCGTCCAACCCTCAAAAGAAATGAGAAAGATCGCTGTATTCTGTCTACAGACAAAATCAAGAGGCTCTCCTCGTTAAAAGAGAGGGTAAGATAAAATAAATACGGACATTGGGAAAGAAAAACTGACCCAGTCAAGATGAAAAAAGGAGGCCAAAAAAATCAAATTGGGGAGGTTGGGTATCTCGTCTTGGATCAGATCTAATGCTAACCCGAGCCACCCCCACCCCCACAGGTTTAACGTTGTTTTTTTCCGAGCCCGTAGGCCTGAACTAAAATTTGTTGAGTTTACTTCCCCAAACGAGGCTATGCGGAAGGGCAGAATCTCATCTGGGTTCCTCTCTGCCCGAAAGCAGAGAGTTCGACAAGCACTAAGAGTTTAGCGCGTGACTAAGACCTAATACTAACTCTCCTCAACACCGCTTATCTCCGCTTATTTATATAAAGGAACGATTCCATTCATTTATGTCCTATATGAAACCTAAGAAACATTCCAAAAGCTAAGCAGAGTGCGAAGAAATAGGAAAATTCCGATAGAAACCAGGAAAATTGTACTAAATTGCTATTTGATATCTGTCCTCTTATATGGCAATGAGTACTGGATGATGAAGAGGAAACCTGAAGCAACAGAACATGTAGTTCTACAGAAGGATGCTGTGGATACCGAACATGTAAGTAACGATGACGGGTCACTTAACGCTGCTTATTTACATAAATAGACGATTCCATGCTAACTTTGTATTTACCCAAGCTCCTCATAGAGCAGGATGTGGCACAAGGCCGGTTTAACGTGGGTTTTTCGGAGCCCGTATGCGCGGGCAAAAATTATCCGTAGACCTTGTAATAACTGGGTCGGGGTTTGTTTACCTCCCCAAACAAGACTCTGCCCTTTGGCATAACCTCGTCCGGGTTCCCCTTCTGCCTTTGACAAGCACTAAGAGTTTAGCATGCGGCTAAGACCTAATACTAACTCTCATCAACACCGCTTATTTCCGTTTATTTATATAAAGGAACGATTCAATTCCTTTATGTCTTATATGACACTTTATTAAAGAATAAATTTTCTTTTGTCTTTCTTGTTTTTATACGCAGATCATAAGCCAGTCTTCTGATTATTATTATTATTATTATTTTTATTTCCTTTGATTTCTGGTGTGTACACATTTCTTTCCGGGTCCCGCCCAAGGACCTAAGGTTAGAAATGGCCTCATGACACTTTCCACCAACAAAAAAAAATCACATAGCTAAAGTCCTTCGTAAAGTGTGGGCCGTACTTGTCAGAACAATTTTTTGTATCTCCTTGAGGCATAGACTTCCAGGAATCCCTTCAATTAGTCTACTGCAATCTTTTCCAACCAGTCCTAGAGCTCCAACTACAACAGGGATTGTTGATGTTCCCATATGCCACATTTTCGAGATTTCTATTTCAAGGTCCTTGTATTTTGACAACTTTTTGAATATCTTCAAAGATACATTGCAGTCTGCAGCGACTGCCATATCAATAAGGAGGCACTTTTTTGTTTGTGGTCTTTAATAACAATGTCTGCACGGTTGGCTTTGATTGTTCTGTTAGTGTGTATTGTGTAGTCCCATAGAATTGTAACAGGTCCTATCTCCGTAACCGGATCTGGGTGGTGTTCTTACCATTTATAATAATAATAATTATTATTATTGTTGTTGTTGTTTCTTTGTACGAATGTTTGGTTGTACACACTGGGCTAGACTCGATAACCGTTGCTCAACCGACACCAATGAAGTGTCTAACATCAGGGTACCTTGTATTTTAATATCTCCTTCTTTTTCCTTCCTAACTTCACAGATCATTGTCAGTTTTATGATCCATTTTACACTTGACATAGTTTTTGTTCTCGGTGTTTGTTCTTGAGCTACAGAAATCAGCATTTCTATCTTTGGTTTGAAATCACACTTCAGGAACCAGTCCAGTCTTCTTTATGAATCAATTCTTCTGGGAATATCTCTAAAAAAAAAAAGTCTTTTTTTTTCTTTCTATCTATTTTAACGTTCATCTCTCTTAAGTTTTGGTCTTCTTTCTTTTGCCTGCAATAGTCAATATCGATTATTTTATAATTCTTAATCCGGATTAAAGAGGAATTTATATTGCTTTCTTTATATGTCTCCCAAGACTATTTTACTTTGCATTCACAATGTCTTCACTATTTATCTATCCTCTACCACGCTTTTCTTCTCAACAAATGCTAATCAATGTCACTTTTTAGATAAAACACTCCATGAATTGCCAACAACTTTCTTATCTCCCCGAAAATCGACTGCCTTTCTTCCTCCTGTCAATTAGGTATACCTTCATTATATTTCAACAATGAAACTGACCATGTATTAATCGCACTTGAGTTTTGTTAGTCCTATTCAGTTTTGACCCTAACACAGTGATTGCCAAACGGTGCATCACGGGTCATAGGTGGGGGCGGAAGAGGATAGCACATAGAAGAAGTAGTCAACTGCTAGAAGTGAGTTAAGTGAATTACACAACGAATCTCCAACTGCAGACCAACATACAGTATTTACTACTGTGTTTATATGAATGGCGACATACCCATTATTGTCCGTAGGTATGGTAAAACAATAGGGGACAACAAAAAACATGATTTAAGAATCAAATATCTAGCCAAATTATTATTATTAAACAAAATGATTGACATAACTCTTTCAATATTTTTCAACACCTCAGAGAAGAGCGCGATTTAAGAAAAGATAAAGAAAAGAAAAGAAAAACAGTGTTTGACAAAGTTAAACAATATTTCAACAGAATGTCTATCTTCTTCAAGTTATATTTAAACAATTTTATAAGTATAAAAATATATAACTCTACAAAAAAATATTATAAGTCTTTGCACAAACGTTGCTTATCTTGTAATGAAAAAAAAAACAAAAAAAAAAACGTTGTACTGGTAATGAACGCGATAAAACAAATGAAACGCTGCCAGCGTGAAGGCATGCAACTGAAACGTTGTTAAGATGATGGCGATCTTGTTCATCTTGGAATTTTTCGTTTATTTATTTATTTATTTAATATTATTATTATTATTATCAACAGTTAAGAGAAGCGTGCAATTTAAAAAAAGAAAAAGAAATGATATTTCAATAGAATGTCAGAAGATTCCGTTGAAATTTTTTTAAAAATTGTTTTTTCTTTTCTTTTTCTTTTCTTTTCGTTGCGCTCTTAACTGTTGAAAAATATTGCAAGAGTGACGTCAATCATTTCCTTTATTATTATTATTATTAAACAAAATGATTGACGTAACTCTTCCAATATTTTTCAACTCTTAAGAGCAGAGCGCAATTTAAGAAAAGAAAAAAACAAAATGGTGGACAATGTTAAACAATATTTCGACATTATGTCTGTCTTCTTCAAGTTAAATTTAAAAAAAAATTAAAGTATAAAAATATATATATTTTGACATTTGGAAAAAAAATAATTCGTGAAAGTATGTTTTGAAAATAATATTCGATAATGCATTTTGCCTATATGGCTTCATCA